TGAAACATGAGGCGGCCTGTTTGCAGCACATTCAGTTGTAGAACATCATAAACGAGCGAATCAGTTGAGTACCTCGTGAAAACCAAATTGATTTGCAAATGAGCGTATTTCTCGAAAGCAGTTTAATTGTTTTTTTTTCACTGGAAGTAGCATCATCCCAAAATTTTTAACTGGGTGATAAACAATGTCACATACCGAATGATCCGTAAATTGATATCTGAGTGTGACGCACTGTCGAAAGTCAGTGACTTAATCAAAATATGTATCTAATCAGGTCCATTTTTCAATACGAAATAGATGCAAGAGCTTATAAAACGTCTTCGCCCCTTTCGTTTGTCAGGTGTATTTCTATTCTGCTGGATACCTTTTTTCACGTTCAACATCACCCACGCCTTCTGCTTCAAGTACCAAACCCGTCTGCACAGTTGGTCACTGTGCCAGATCCCCAAACTTGCCGACAGTGTGGCCCTGTGGATGGGTTACATCAATTCATCCCTGAACCCCATTGTCTACACCATTTTCAACGTGGAATTCCGCAAGGCCTTCAAGAAACTGCTGGACTGTCAAACGTGAACACAACACCTCCCCCCTTCGTCAAATTTTCTACTATTAACCAAAGAGGAGACTTTGTCCTATGTATTCACCATAGATGAGATATAAATTATATGTAAATGAGTGTATATTTCACCCATTAGAAATTCGCATACTCAGGGCTAGATGATTAGATGGCCGGGTGATCGATCGAATCGTCTGACAAACCAATCACATTGCTTGAATGTGAACGCAACCACCTGTTCAGACTTGACAGTTTGTCACACAGAATCTGATGGTAAATTTAGAAGCCGCTAGTAATATGGTGATTTTTCACGGATGGATGTGAAGAGAAATTGATGAACCCAATGCTCGAGCAAATTTCCTCACGCCTGGATATCACGGTTGACGTGTGCGCACCCCCAAATCGTTGGGTGTCCCATCAACCTTTGTCTCCGGGGGGACAGAACCCCTAAAAAACAAAGTTTGTTCAATTCCCAAGTTGCTTTTGGCCGCATCGCTTCCCTTCTCACAGAATAGCGAAGTTTGCCAGCAACTGATGGATTATGCTCGCTTCTGCCGCTTTCAAATACACTAGGAGATTCTTCCGCCAGTATGTCTTGAAGATGAGCATGTCAGTGCCTGTGGTCACTATGTTAGGACATATGTGAGTGTTCTGCATAACAGCCCCCAGCCATCTGGTGATCTTATCGTCTAATCACAAATATGATGACCTCAGCCTGTTGCGAATGTCTATCCACAGGGTGACTTTGATCAACCCGATAGCTATGCTGAAGTTCATAATGAATACCCTTCAGTTTCACTTCAAATCTGCTACGAGACTAGTTTTTAAAAGAATAGAAAGCATTTTTTTATTGACTTGTCACCGTGTGCCTTCTTTGTACAACGTCCTTCAGCCGCCTGCAAAACCAGATCATGAGGATGGAATCGTCTATTTAAACAAAACAGCGAATTAGCTCACACATGACTTGGATATCAATCCAGGTCGTCACCAACTGCTTGAGGGTGAGTTGTACTCTGAAAAGTGTTGGACTCGTGGCTATCCATCAAAGGGTGAGTTCACGCACGGCAGGACAGATCGTGGACACGGTTTTTGGTGGGCCGAACTCAACATCTTTCTGATTGGACGAATTATGAGCGATCCCTTGTGTAGATCTTTCCTAATGATCCATACTCTATTGTACACATACTGATCGTTTCTCATTAAAGTGCACGTTGAACAAGGCCGCAGATCGCCCTAAACCTACATTCGACTGTCCGACTGGAGGCTTTCTGGTCGTACTTTTAAATTACGAGGCACTCAGCACACCGCATCAACGCCCTGTCTAGCTGCATTTCGCAGATCAATATCTTGTCAAGGATCGATATCGTTCAATCGCGGTTCAGTTTAAAGCCACACTGCTTCACGCCCTATGTCGCTATTCAAGACACTTACCGACAACAAATCTGTCTTGTACAAGTCATAGAAAATAGGTCGACGGCTAAGAACTATCTAGTGAAACTTAGGTAGAAAAAACACGACTTAGCAGAGTGAAACCGTGTTCGGGGTAAGTCTGATTAGCTTAGTCAATCGATCTGTTCAACCAACCGTCGCCACTAGTAAGGTTATATCCCAGTTTATTCCGTTGATCGAAAGACGATCTTTTTGTAAGATAAAGCGCTGAGATGCCTCATGTACAATGCATTAGGTATCCTGCTTATACGTGACGTCAAGCGGGAACTTTTAGCTTAGCAACATGACAGGAAGCCGCGTGGTGCGAGTGAAAACGATCGGTCGAAACACGTGATGATCTCACTTCGCTGTGCTCCAGGCACGATAATTTGTCTAACGTGCCAAGACGAAAAAAACTTCAAACTGAGTAGTAAATGAAAACAGACTGACGAATTTTCACTTAAATCCCCGCGAAAACTAACAATCCACCGATGGTAATCTACTTATGTGGACAATAGATTTTGGATTTCATGCTCTGCTTGTTTTGAATTCGAATGAGCCATAAGAAAATTTGTGAACGATTGCGTTTTTAATAAATCAAAAGTTTTCGAGAAATGCACCGAGTTGCAAATCAAGTTGGTTTTCCTGAGAGACTCAACTGAATCTGTCGTCTATGATATTGTACAAGTAAATGTGTTGCACGCAGGTAGCCTCATGTTTTAGTTGGCACGATATTCGAGATATCGAAGTATATTTTCATGAAGGAAGCTACTCACAAGGTTGCTGAAAACTCTTGGACAGCCCACGACCGGTTTCGCCCTTCCAGTTTGGGCTCATCAGGTAGGCACGCAATCCCCGAGTTTCCGTCAACCTTATGATCTACTTGAACCCAAATTGGACTGTTTTCGAGAAATACACTCATTTGCAAATTCACTTGGTTTCCACAATAAACATACCGCGATATCTTGAATATCGTGCCAACGGATTCCTAAGGCGGCCTGTGGGCAGCACATTCAGTTGTAGAATATCATAAACGAGAGGTTCAGTTGAGTCTCTCGTGAAAACCACAAATTGATTCGTAAATGAGTGTATTTCTCGAAAACAGTGCAATTTGGGTTCAAGCAGATGATAAGGTTGACGGAAACTCGGGGACTGCGCCCAACTAATGGGCCCCAAGATGGGTCAAACGGGTCGTGGGCTGTCGAAGAGTTTTCAGCAAGCTTGCAAGTAGTTTCCTTTATTAAAATCAAAAGATTGTTATGCTAAATGTATTATATAGAAGATACAGTTGAAAGATCAGCTGTTCGGATGTTGACCGAATAATTCAACCCTTCAATTTCCTGGCAAGCTCGTCAGGCAGTTTCTGTGTAGTGGAGATGAACGATGCACTCATGGGTGCACCATGGCGACTGGTATTGGCGTATCAGCCCCACTAAAAATTGATTGGCTGCTTGCTGACTCATATGAAACTGTCGCGTGATTCTTCAGAAATCTATGATTTCCTGACTTGTTTAACGGAGAGTTGTATTCATGATAGTTCTTGGGCCATTGCTCAGATACCAACTTTGTGAAGTATCAGGGGAACGCCGTAAAGAGCTTTCACTCTGTCGTGCAGGTACTCCTATTGAGGAGACCTGCCTTCCTGGGGGCTTACCTGAGAAAAACATTGTGAAGGCCACTTGCCATTTTACAGTTGAATACTAATACGTCTACAAAAATTACGGTTGATTTCACAACCAAAGTAAAAAGTTTCAAGCGAACCTTCCCAGAATGTGATAACGAAAAAAAGTTTTCGACTTAGGTTTCTGTAAGTTATCCGATTTCAGCCTCTCTTATTGAGGTTCGATTGCGATTGTATTTGAATTTTTGAAGTTAACAAGCAGTGTCAATTTATAGTTCAGAAGAGGCATATACATTACGGAGATGAGTTAACCAGACCTCGTCGTCAGGTTAGAAATAATAAATAACTAAGTAGACGACTATTAAGTAAATAAATAAATAAATAAAAAATAAGTCAGAGAACGTGATAATAAGGCGAGTAGCTGTCAGCGGATAGTAGACGACATTAAGTAAATAAATAAATAAATAAATAATAAGTCAGAGAACGTGATAATAAGGCGAGTAGCTGTCAGCGGATGATAAGAGGTTGCCAAGGGGGTAGCTGAGTGGCTAAGTTGGTTGACTTGACGATCGACGGAGGTATATTTGTAGCGTTATCAGAGCGAATGGTTGTTCAGAGAGGTTTATGGCCAAGAATAAACTTGGACATGTTATCCAGCTGCAAGGAGGCTAACTTCCATGGTTCTACTCTTTAAACGCAACCGGCTGGCAAACGGTCAATCCCCACCATTCTCAATCCCCAAAACGTCTGTTTCCGGCTTTAAATTTGGGTTTTTGTTTCACAAACAACTTTTGGCTCAACTTAAATCTTAAAGAAAGACGAAACGTCAGTCCTCACATCGAATGTGAGTGTGTATTCTTTTTTTGCCGATCGACTTATTGGTTCAATCGAAATCCCAACCACTTCACACATGATCGATCCGAACGGGCCCTTTCACGTCATCGACCGAATATCTGATGGGCTGTCAGTATCGATCCAATGGCGTTGCTTAAAACTGCAGACAAGACAGTAGCAATACGATTGCGAAATCCGGTATGATAATGTCAAAAACTATTCATATGAACGCTGAGTCTGCCATGGTCACGTGATAACTCGGTCGACCCAGTCTCCAGAAGACTTTCAATATATGTTTAGATTGTCGGAACGATCTTTTTTAGTTACCATTGTTCTATGGTTTACAGCTCACAGGCGGCTTCGGGATTCCTTCAACGGGTATATTCATTTGAGTTCCCTTCTTTTCTTCTTGGCAGTGTGGAACAATTTCTTGGATTTTGTACAACTGTTCTATACCACCGATAAACTTTGAAGAACAGTTTTGCCATCACCACATGTCACAAAATAAGTGATCTTGTCATCTGAAGCTTGAAAAACTGCCCATAAACTGCACAGTAGTTAGCTATTCGTCCCATACAATTTTTCCTGCTCTAGGCCTTGAGTTTAGTTTTTTGCTTCAGAGTCATCTAAGATCATATTCCCTGAAAAAATTTCTCAAAATACTGACGGATCGATAAACATGCCATTAAAATGCTCAAAAGCGAGACCAGTGTATCACGTGGCAAACCTTTCAGACTGATCTGTGCTCAGCCAAGACTGAAGCACATTCGCCAATCAATTTGGGCCACCAGAGTTATCGATCGAAAACTAATCGATCACGTCTTCTGAATTTTACTAAACAGAAGTGCTTCATCTGTGGCTAGTTGAAGTAATTTGGATGTGATTCTGTCTTTATTTTTATTTCCTAAGTATGTCTTAGTGTCTTATGAAACTACGTAAAAAAATCTCTTTGCATAAACTTACAGAAACCTTGCTATATTCAGTGACGAAATGTGCCCCGTTTTGCTCAGATATCGATCAATGTGTGAGAATCGTTCAAAAGCCGTCGCGTCACCCAAGCAAAGAAGTCGCTTGTGTCATTCTATCTGAATACAGCTGACTTCTGTTAAGTACTTCTTCAACGGTTCTTCTTTCCCAATTA